TTTTTTTTTTTTTTTACATTTCCTATAATTATATTTTATTAATTTTCATAAACATTTACAGAGATTTTGGGCTTCCACTCATTCATTGTTGCACTTGGACTAACCACTTTTTATGATGCATTTATTATATCACTCTACAACTTTATTAGACAAGTATTGTCATCATCCTTTCATTTATTCACTCAAGTTTATGAAGTGCCTAATAAATAATTAAGACAAAATCTCTCCTTTTAAAAGACTCAGAGTTAAGGAAGAAGGCATGATATGTCCGCAAGCAGCTTAAACTACAAAATGATGTCTTTTGTATATAAGGAGCCATTAGAGATTCATTCATTCGTACAACACACACTGAGTCTTTACTCCATGCTGGGCCCCATGCCAAACACTGGGAATAATGATTTCAATGAAAATATTGAAAAAGGAATACGGTACAGTCTAGTCACAATCTAATGGGAGAGACAGATATGTAAATAAATTATTACAGTTATAAGGAATTAAGCTGTGATTTTTTAAAAAATTGTGGGAGGAGTGCAGGGAGAAGGAGAAATGGAGTGTGTTGGAGACAGGAGGCAGAGACAGCCTGGATAGTCACTGAGCTGCCAAAATGAAAAGGGGACACAGAGACTACGTGGCATCAATTCAGGAGTGTACATTTGGAGAAGGAAGAAGAAGGTTTCATGGAGGAGGTAGCATGAGGGTTGGCACCTTTCAAATGGTTTTGTTTTATTAGGGGGAGGGTAGTACATAGAGGTACTTTCCCCTCTCTGACCTGTGGAAACAGGTTCAGCCACTCTTACAAGATGTAGTCCCAAGGAGTTCTGCTAAGGAACCATGGAGAGCTGACTTGGGGAGAGATTCTGAACACCTAGTACCTTCTTACAGAAGGACAAGTGTGGAGGAGGACTGAGAAAATTGTGGAAGACGGTGGGAAGGAGGGATATATTTCAGAGATACTAAATCTGATGACTTGACTTTTCTTCAATGGTGCTCCTGTAAGATAATGGACAGAGACATTGAATGTCAAAAAGAGAAGCCTGGAGTTGTGAACATGGGTAACTGGAGTGACAGTAATTAGTCCAGCCCTTCTTTTTGTTGTTGTTATGGAAACATTGTTCAATCCTGTGCTTCATAATACTTGCTGACAATTTCTAGTCACTGTGTCAATACATTTTATTAAAAGTTTGCATAATTAAAGGACACACCGACAAAGGAGATTAATCAGAACTGACTTTGACAAGCACTGTGGCAACTGGACAATTAAAACAGACATTCGGATGGCGGGGAAGAAGAACAAACTGGGGAGGAGGGTGGAGAGAATGGTGCGGCAATGAAGGAGTGAAAGCCCAGAATCCCTGTGAATGTTCATTGAAAC